AACTCTTACCTACCGTGCGATGATCTGATGAATTTTTTTTAAAAGTGACGCGTGAAGCTAACTTGGTGATAAAAATTTGCAGGTCATTCGCAGTTAAGGATGACATATTTTGCCTGTTTGAGGGAGCACTTGACAATCTAGGGAGTCTGAAGCAACAATACGGGCTTTCGAAGTCTGCAAATGAGGTGGTTTTGATGATTGAAGCATACAAGGCGCTTCGTGACAGGGCACCTTACCCTCCAAACCATGTTGTTGGCCACCTAGAAGGGAATTTTGCTTTTATTGTCTTCGACAAGGCCACCTCCACCTTGTTTGTGGCTACTGTGAGTGATCTTCAATCTTCCTTACCTACCAATTTGACTTCATTGAAATGTTTTATTTGCATTTAAGTCGTATCTAATCCAGCGGTGTGGTTGGTGATGTTGCGACAGGATGAAAAGGCTAAGGTTCCTCTATACTGGGGAATCACTGCTGATGGATGGGTAGCATTTGCAGATGATGCTGACTTGCTTAAAGGTGCTTGTGGCAAGTCCCTTGCATCTTTCCCTCAAGGTAAATTTGATTCTTAGGCGCTTAAGTTAGCCATCATCAAAGAATTGATTCTTTTCAATTAATGAATACATTAACTGCTTTTTTTTTTTTGGGTTAGTACATCTTTCGTTTCAAATTCCTTTGCTATCTTGTAATGTACGTTGATGTCTGTTCGTTTGTTCAGGTTGCTTCTTCTCCACAGCTTTGGGTGAACTGAGAAGCTATGAGAATCCAAAGAATAAGATCACTGCAATTCCAGCTAAAGAGGAAGAAATATGGGGAGCAAAGTTCATGGTAAACAGATGAGATTCTCTCTATGTTACCAGCCGCCAAATAATACAGCCATTTTTTTTTTTTTTTTTGGAATCCAGGAGTATATATATACTCAGTGAGGCCATTTGGTAGCTTATTATTAGTGGGGATCTATTGGTCAAAGATGATTATTAATCATGTTGGGGATCTATTGTCTTAAAATCATGGCTTTAGATTGCTCTGGTTTGGTGATACTGAAATTTGTTCTCTTTTGTAACATCTTTTTGGTGATATTTTTCCAGGTGGAAGGGCCAGCAGTTTTTGCAGCCACAAAATAGAAGCTCATGATCTTCTCCACCTGCAATGTGCAAGTTGCAGCTAAAAGACAGGAAAACAGTGGAAGGGGGATTGGAGAGGGAGGGAGGGGGTTGATTTCTGGGACCATGTAAAAATTAGTGGAGCTGTCTTTCCCTTAGTAGCTGTTGTTATTACTTCCTTGAATGAGTGAATGAGGATGGTGCCGAATTAGGTACTGTTAAGGCGCTAGAGTTGGTTGTTTGCTCGCCTAAGTAGTTCCTTCTCTTCTCTTCTCTTCATGTAGCGGTTCGCTGGTTCCAATGCCTGCTGCTTACTTTGGAATTTGTACAGTTCACCTTTTTTCTCTATAAATTACTAATAAAAGCTCAGTTTACCCTTTTTTTTCTTTAAGATGGAGGTCTAGAACACACGTACTATTTACAATTTCTTCTGTTTTAGTATTTAATCTAATTCTCCTCTCAGCGAGATCTACCCTCTAATTACCTTGCAGATTGACTAATGATGCATTGCATTACTCACAAAAGATCGAATGATATCTTAGTATGACTTAGCAAGTTTTGTTATGGTGGGAAGGATTGAATTGAGTTAGATGGTAAGGGAAGAGATTGTAAGTGGAAGAACACCCCTCTCTAGATTGAGGAGATGAGAAATACCAAAATCTTTGGCAAACTGTAAAGCTTTAAGAAAAGCTAAGGTTGTGTTTGGATTGTATTTTTCATGAAAAAATTACTGTAGCGATTTGATGTATGTAAAAAAAAAAAAAAAAATAATAGGAAAATATGATCATGAAAAATGATGCAATTTTTCGAGGAAAAATCACAGTCCAAACAAGGCGTAAGCATTCCACATGCTCTGCATTGAGGGCCTCGAAAAGTCTTTCAGCCATTAAAGCTTCCACTTGTCCCTGATGGTCTCTCACCACAACTCCGATTCCGGCCCCAGTATCAGAGGAGGCTCCATCAACATTTATTTTTAAAATACCTTCTTCTGGAGCTACCCACTCAGTCAAACTACCAGTCTCTGGTAACTCAGCTTTGCAGTGTAAATTCCAATATTCCTGCAAGAAATCTATTGCATATTCACCAACTCTGAGCGCATGCATCCCTTACTTTTCCTTCAAAAATCCTCTCATTCCAAATTAGCCAAGTAATAACTGCCGCTAACTCTCTGCTTCTTGCTTTCCTTGTGAATTCGTAACCCATCCAAACCATTCCCTGAATTTTGGGACAAAAGCGTTCTCTAACAACTTCCGTTTGTCAAGTCCTTTCCCACACTTCTTGGGCAAACTCACACTCAAAAAATATGTGTTTATCAGTTTCCACTTCACACCCACATCATCTGCAATTTTTATTTTCACATCTTATTCAAGCATTTAAATTATGACCAGTGGGTATTTTTAGAGTATGGATGATGATTTTTAGAGTATGGATGCCATACTCCATTCCATAAGTTCTTTTTCCTGCTACTCGATGATGATGATTTTTAGAGTTTCTTGCCAAAAGATATGCTGATTTAACATCAAATATGCCATTCCTTGAATAATGCCATACTGTCTCATCATGTGGCCAACATGCTGACAAACTACACCTATAACTCCTATGAACATTTCCAGTTTTCCACAACGTATAAAAGTGGGCTCGTTTCGGCCCAAATTTGCTCCCACGAATTTGGTTTTAGTTCCATCCAATTGGGACATGCCGCATTCTAGACGCCTTATTGTTGTGAATTCTGAATTTTAATTCCTCGTCCATTTAAACTATGGTCCCGTTTGACAAATGAATTTTTTAGATGTTTGTCTCAGATTTCACTGTAACTTACTATAAAAGTTGTAAGCAAAATTTTTGAAGTATGTAAATTTTGAAATGTATAGTTTAAAAACTGTGAAAAGTTTTTTTAAAGTTACTGTAGCTAACGTTGTTAAAAAACTTATAGCAGATAAACAGCCCTATGTTTATTTTAGAATATAGGGTAGGACAAATCTAACTGAGGGAGGGGGCGGGGGTTATAAAATTGGACTGAAAATGACAAAAATAAATCATGACATGCCTGAAATTTGACCGAGTCACCTAGCAGGGATGATAATGACTTGCCTGAAATTTGGAAATCTCATAGGGATCGTGATTCATGAGTCAGTCATGACATAAACTAGTTGCATGACTAGGTAAAAATATAAGATGGATCGTGACCCACCACTCATCGGCCCACTCAATTCATTTTAATTTTGGAGAATTTCAAGTGTTAATATTCATCACTTGAACAAATTCCTTCTTGGAGTTTCACATCCAAAAGCAAACTTTTACTACAAAGCAATGGCAGAGCCGGAAAGAACTTTCACACTAGGGGCAAAGACAATAGTTAATAGAATTTCTTGCTTAATTTTTCTTTTCTTTTTTTTTTAATTTGAAAAATAGGACATATCAATAGTCATGTAACTAGTATTAATAGTGCATATATGTTGTGAGTAACAAAAAAAGGCATACTAGAATTTACTCGTAAAATTATCATGTTTTAAAATACCATACATGAATTTACAACTTTTTCCACTTTCAACTCTACAAAATATATATACTTTTCAATATAAGTAACTAAAAAAATGTATCAATACTAAATTATACCAAATTCCAAGGGGACTAAACAAGTGATAAATATAACAAATGAATCATATATTACAACAACTTTCAAAAGAACTAGATGGCTAGACCGGAGAGAGTTGTCATTCAAGGGAAGTTACGTGAGATTTCTAAAACTTCAAAAGTGCTAGGTGATATTAGGTTTTAAATCTTAGAGGAAGTTTCTAAAATTAATCCAAGAAAAAAAAAGCAATGAACCTCAGAGTTTGATCCATTTTTAGGTAATCTACCTTTTAATTTAAAGAAATGAAACAATTTAAACAGAAACAACTTTCCAAGTGTATCTTTCAATAAATTTTAAAATGGACAAACCTAACATACAACTAATCAAGTTTAAGTGGAATGACTAATGAGGGAGTGAAAAATACTCATACAAAAAACTCATACAAAAAACGCAGGGTCCATTTATCGAAACACTCATACAAAAAACTGTGAGTTATGAAAGGGGACTAATGAGGGAGTGAAAAATAAATAAAAAATGACTGGTGGAGCCCTATAGACTTTAAAAGGAGGTAAATAAATTTATTGGAGAAAGTTGAGCTTGACGGGGAAACAATAAAAAAAAAAAAAAAAACTACTCAGACATTAGTACGTACTACTGTTTTCTTTGTTTTTCTCTTGTAAGCCATTACCAACAGCCACGTATCCTCCACTTTTTCTTTTCTTTTCCTTTTTCTTCTCCTTTTTTTTTTTTCTCAAGGGACCACGTATACACCCACCTCAGTGCACAAAACAATAGCCCTTTGAAGGATTTAGAAGAGAAACAAAAAGGCAAATATAGTGACAACATCACATGCAGTTTGGACTCGGGATTCACTCTATCCTCTGTCTCCGTTTATCCCTCTTCTTAAACCCTTGAAGTCCCTTGAAGTCTAGGTGAGATACGTGCATATGCATGAAGACTTAATTTTTATGCTTAAATTTTGTGTCTTTACAAGTTTGATATGATTTGGACTCGTGGGTTTTCTTGCTTTGTTGTTATAGGGCTATTTGATCCTGAGCAGAATTGAAGTTTCAAGTAAGTGAATTTGAGTGAAAGGTATCAAATTTAATCTGAACCCGTCAAGAAATTAGTTTAAGTCTGCCAAAGATTGTTGCTTTTTTGAAGCAAGTGAATTTCAGTGAAAGGTGTCAAATTTGATCTGAACCCGTCAAAGAAATTAGTTTTAAGTTTGCTGAAGGTTGTTGCTTTTTTGAAGTTTCAAGTAAGTGAATTTCAGTGAAAGGTATCAACTTTAATCTGAACCCGTGAAAGAAATTAGTTTAAGTTCGCTAAAGATTGTTGCTTTTTATATTTTTGTGTGACGATTTAGCTACTTTTGTTTCTGGGATTTTCCTGGTGTTTCACTGCATGTAAATAGGTGTATTTTGTTGAATCATCCTATTAAGTCTGTTGTTTCGTCTCTAAACGTACACGTACGGTATAGAATGCAACATAAGTGTATGGTGACGCTGTTATGGATGTTTGTGTTTTTCTTTGGCTTTGCTGCTGTTTCTCTTGATGTTTGCCCTTTTTTTCACCCAAGTTTGTATTAATTTGATGCTTAATCTGGTTGTGAGTTATCAGGCATAGGTATGTGTATGTTTTTGTGAAAAGGCAAGTGAGTTTGTGCTTGTCGAATCTGATTCATGCTGTGTGGTTTATGGGTATAATAGTTACCTTATTAAAGTGTTTCTTTTGTGCTTTACAAAATGATTAATTGTTGAAAATGAAAGGAAAGGGGCCGTTTTTCGGTATTCTTGAGGTTAACTCAAGGCTGTCTCTTCGTTACTAGTGGACTTTTGAATGGTATGGCTTTATTTTTTGCCAGAAATTTGATATGCTGAGTCTTTCATCTTATTTCATCAAACTAGTTTCTGCTGTTTATTGTTGTTTGCGTTCGCTGACATAGAGACTCTTTCTGCTTTGGTTTGTATTTTCTGACACTGTTCAGTCGTCATTCTTTTAGTATTGAAGAGAGTTTTGTCGTCATGACACTCGGTGATGTAGAATTCCTTGTATGCCTATTGTAAACATTTTTTTTTTAATTTTGCTTCTCGGTAATGTAGACGCATTTATGATAAGGATGATGTTTGGATAATTTTCTGATTATTTGTTGTTCTAACTTCTACCATCCCCAGTAAATTCTGCTTGCTGTGTTGATTGTTGATGGAACACCCCCTGGTCCTACTTGAGTGTGCACTGTGGTGGAGTCTTTATGAATTATATGTTTGGATGTTACAGATGCATTATGTGTTATTACATGACTCTTATGTTGTTGGCTTTTGGAGAACTTTCCATTGCATTAAATGTCTAGGCACTTGGTTTCTGCATAATTGGAGGTATCAAACTTGAAGTTACTAGACATGACTCCAAAGCATTAGACAAGGCAAGAACGATTACTGATTGATTGACCTGGGCTTTTGGTTATGGTATTTGAGGAGTTCTGTCAAAATGACTATTTTGTTGAGGTGGCTTATCACACCACGTATCATAAATAGCCCTTGAGCTGTTATAGAAATGGAGTTTATTGGATTTATGAATTCAAAGTAATTTACCTACTTCCACTCCATGCAATATGTGTCTTCCTCTGGGATGGAAAAACAAATGAAGGCTGTCCAACTTTAGCTAAATAATATTCTAATATCTACACTTTTTTTTTTCCTCTCTCCAAATATCCATTCACTCTTTCTCCATGTTGCATTCAGGAAGTGAATATCCTAAAGCTTTTACCTATAAGACTTGACAAAACATGGATCAGCAAGGAAACGGACAACTTCCAGGTATGGAGGTGGTTGGTAGCTCTGCTCATGTGCCATATAGTGTTGCACCATATCAAACTAACCAAATGATGGGCCCCTCTCCTTCTGCATCAGCTGGTCCAGTTCAAGCTCCTCAAACAGCTGGCCTTCCTGCCTCTTCTACTCAGATGGCGCAACACCAGCTTGCCTATCAGCACATTCACCAGCAACAACAGCAGCAATTGCAGCAACAGCTCCAGAACTTTTGGGCAAACCAGTACCAAGAAATTGAGCAAGTGACTGATTTCAAGAATCATAGCCTGCCATTGGCCAGGATCAAGAAAATAATGAAAGCGGATGAAGATGTTAGAATGATTTCAGCAGAAGCACCAGTTATATTTGCCCGGGCCTGTGAGATGTTTATCCTCGAGTTAACCCTGCGTGCGTGGAACCACACAGAGGAGAATAAGAGGAGGACCCTTCAAAAAAATGACATTGCAGCAGCCATCACTAGGACTGACATATTTGATTTTTTGGTTGACATAGTACCAAGAGAGGACTTGAAAGAGGAGATGCTTGCATCAATCCCCAGAGGGCCCCTTCCTGTTGGAGGTCCTGCAGAGGGCGTCCCTTACTACTACATGTCAGCCCAGTCTGCTCCACCGGTTGGAGCTCCAGGGATGTATATGGGTAAACCCGTTGATCAAGCTCTTTACGGCCATCAGCCTCGTCCTTATATGCCCCAGCAGATGTGGCCACACCAACAGCAACCACCTGCCGATTCTTAGGCAGAAGTGAAGAATTATCCAACTGTGAGTACTTCTATCTTCACAGTGAATCCTCATGCATGTACCAGAGTTTGACAATTATGTTACTTTGCTTTCTGGTTCCGCTAGATCTCTTCATGTTCTCTTTTGACACTGTCAACATTGTAATTCTCTGGTGGTTTGAGCAATCAAATCTCACGATTATGTTTGAGGATTAAGAAGGCTTTTAAACTTGTCATCTTCCACATGGCTGCCTTTGACACTACACTTTATGCGTATGGATGATTTAGATGTGTTCTTTGCTGCATAAGCCACTTGCAGGTAGATAGGATTGTGCATACTTTGTTTAGGTGTTCATGCAGTTTCACTTTGTGGTGTATAATTTAGTGACTGGTCTATATTTGGGGTATATTTAACGTAACAATGAGAACTTTTAATCCAAAAATTATCTTCACACTTATGATTTGACCCAACTTTCTATGAGGTAATTAATTTTTAGTTGATTTGCTCTGCATCAAGTGCACACTTCACTTTTTTTTTTTTTTGCATGACTGACAAATGAAATGAATTTGCAGGAGTTGTGAGAGATTTTTCAGATCAAGTACTGGAGACATACCAAACTGATAGATGACTGCATAGAGAGACTTTAAAAGACAGAAGAATATGTGTTGCACCTTTTGTTATTCCTAAGTTATGTAACTAAATTCTGCACAAATTCAGTTTTAAGGCTTTAGTAGTGTTAACTATGTACTAGTTAAGTTAGATTGTCATGGCTTGCGGCTAATAACATGTACCAGCCTGTTTGGGCTGCCTACTGTCCATGTTTTCCAGATTTGTGACTGATCTGTCTAGTTTGTCGGTGTATCTTTCAATGTCCCTTCCAACTGCTTCCTAGGCAAAAACGTTTCCTTGAAAAAAAATGACTCTAGTAATAAGGTGCTGCTTCGCTGCAGCTAAAGTGGATCACCGACAAGTGAGTAATGCACAGTGGCTCATCACTCGGTCGTTTAATAATTTGGTTCTTCACGATGAGAAAACAATCCTGAGATTGCCCTTTTTCCTGTGTTTGGGGAAAAGACTGATGCTGCAGACTGTTCAGGAGGCCTCTTTTTAAGTTATGAGCCGATTTCTCTCTTCATCTTACAGTGTGGAATTGATTCGTTTTATACCCATTATCGTATTCCCTTAGAAATTATAGATAGGAAAAGTTTTATAAGCTCGTTAAGAAAATATACATTCCTTTTCTTTTTTTGCCAATTGTGTTTGCATTCCATGTCCCAGTACACTGATGGAACTTTCTAAATTTGCATTATTCTCTGATTATGATCATAAAAGAAAGATATCATAGCAAAGAAATTGCAGGAACAAAACCATTGGACCATCCCCCGGGCAAGGATCCTGCTATCTTCCGTGAAGAGCTCGCTAGCAAAACAGGATAGCTATGCCTTTTCAAAAAAAAAATTTTTTTTTTTTGGAGAATAGCTGTGCTCTTAATCATATGATAATTGCGAATTTAAACTCTCATATAAAGGTTTTGTTTTTTTTAAAAAAAATTAATATCCATACAAAGATGCTTCAACTTTTAGTTTTATATCAGTTTTCCCCTATCGGGTTTTGACCAATTCCGGCAAGAAGCCAAACTACTCGGACTCTATCATGGGTTTATTCATATCACGAAATGACGGCGCAGATTTCTTCCAAACTGCAGAAAGGAGAAAAAAAATAGAGCGCTTTTGTTAGTACGTATGCTTAAAGCATAACTCTTTCACAAAATTATTTGAGAAACTACCTACCTTCTTCCCAAGCACTCGATGATATCACTGGTAAGAGTCGACCTTTTCTTCTGATCAAAAGCAAGAGAGGCTGCCTTTCTCAGTATTGCAGATGCAGCGATGCAGCCTAAAATTGTTGGATTCGTACCCAACTCTCCTCTATAAGCAGACTGACGAGCCCAAGAAAGAAAAACAGCCACACTGCCAAAAAAGGTACAAGAAATCTTCTATGAAATGATGGACAATCGAGACCAGACCAATGGTATACATGTAGAGGACTCGTCACAATAGCTTACCTTCCTGCAAGTATATCACCCTGACCACCACAACGCCGAGGAGAACCATATATGCTTACTGCACTAACTGCATGAACCAAAAAAGAAAACTTCAAATCTATGCATACATTAATCACATAAAAAGAAAAGCAGAACATTGTAGCATGCTCAAAATGGGGAAGACACCCACTGGATTTCGAGCACCCAAGAAGCTATAATTTAGAATAACTCTTCAAGCACAATACCAGAATTTGGACTGTGTACTCATCCATGCCCATGTGTGAATCCTTTTTTTTTTTCTCCCCTTTCGTGTTCGTTGATATAATTCCATGTTCATACATTGTTGAAGATCATTAAGTGTGCTTTTGTGCACTAGAAAAGCCAAGGCGGGATTAGTGAGAAGTAGTGTGTTTGCAGATCTGTTTCACTGGTAGGTAATTAAATCTGGGGAAACAGAGTAGCTTATGCATGTAACAAGCTCTAACCTTGTGGGAAAAAAAATGAAGAAATAAAAAGTTACCTTTTTCACCATCAGTGATGAAATCAGATTTTCCTTTTCGTAAGATTGTCACACCACCAATCCTAATCAGGAAGAGACTCAATTATTGGACTGCTATTTGACTTTATAGAATTAAGCACACAATGCAGAAACATGCAACACTAAGAGTCAATGATAGAATTATAAACATGCTATGAGATGCAGCTCAAAAGAAATCTCCTGCACTATTTTGCTTCATTCCAAAATCAAAGATTAGCATAAAAATTGCTTTTTCATTGAATAAATCAGAGTAACGGTGAAATACTTGGGCGGAGAGGAGGGGTTAAGGATGAGCTATCATCCTTTTAGGTGGAGTAAAAGCATATATGTCAGCATGGATCATGTACCACTACCATGGATACAAGTAGGCCATCCAATCTGGTGTGACTAAGATTTTCCTTCCAATACTTTGACACATCCCATTCCCTCCCACAGGTCATTCTGCTTCTGGTAGGATTTATGTATGTCCTCACTTAGGATTGTTGTGCGTATCACTAATTAGCACCAAAAACATCCTTTATAGGTGTCTCAGAAGGAAAGGAGAACATCCTTATCATCATTTGCACAAGTTATCAAACATCATAGGACAACTGATACAAGGCAGGTTACCGAATAAGTGAACAATAGCTTGCAGATGTCAATCAAGCACATACCCTTTTGCAAGAGCCAATAACTGCTTGCTTCCTTCTTCATCATTTACTTCACAATTTAATATTTTCTGAACAAGCCGCTTATATTCATTAACATTTGGAGTCAGAACAGCTAACGGATAACCTCTAACTAGATCAGGGGAATTTGAAACAAGAAAAAGCCCATCCTGGAAAAGCAACAGCACAAAGGGCTCAAAAATTGAAAGATGAAAAGCAATTCAGGAATATATGCCTTGAGGAAAATAAATTCCATCTCTGTAGTTACATACACCATCAATGACCATTGGCACATTGGACTCCCTTGCACGTTTCATGATGTTACTCACACAGTCCTGGACATGAAACTTGATCGTTAGAATAGATTGTTACAGCAACCATTATAAAAAAAAAAAAAAAGACATGTTGCAAAGATTGATTCTGAATTTGATGGCTCTTTGGTTCCATGCAAAAATAAATGCAAGGGAAACTATAATATAACCAAATTAGGAGCATATACTATAAAACCATAGTCTCTCCACATAATAATGTGAAACAACCATCATTACGCTCATCTTATATCAACATCTGACATTTCATCACTTCAATTCTATATCATCTGGGATACATCAAGACCTCCACATGACCACATTAAACCATGAAATGAGGCAATTTCTTCAGGCAGGTTTAAAACTTGGAAGGACTAGAACGAAAGATACGTACAAGGAGAAAGGGATCCCTCCCGAGTCCTGGACCAATAACAAGACAATCAAATCTTTCCATCCATTTATCTACCTCCTCAATCACCTTAGCTGATATTGATCCTTTTTCGTCATTCCTGGAAGTGATCTTCCACAAAAGTTAGTTATAAGCCACAAATTGAAGGTTAACTCTCTACGTGACTAAGAGAAAAGAAAGAATGTAGTTAGAATAGCACCAAAAGAAAGATAAGAAAGAAAGCCACCTGATGCTGTAAGATTCTTCCAGAATAGGATGCACTATTAACTCGGGACTATAGCTTTTTATGACAGTAGCAGCATCTTTAGTACAGAATACATGTGATACGTCTGCACCCTGAAGCACAGAAGATGTAAATTAGGAACTCTTGAGCAGCTAAATTTGAAAAATAGATAGGTACAGGAAATTGAAACAAAACATGACAACAAACAGAAGCACAGATTGGTAGGACTCACAAGTTTTAGAGCTGATATAGCAGAAAAATATGGAGCTCCAGTATATTCACGACATCCACCAATGACAGCTACTTTTCCTAATTGGGATATGCACGAGTTGGAACAAAACTATCAATTAGACAGCCATTTTCTCATTGGAAACTCAACATAGTTGATTAATAGATGGAGTGGCTGGAAAAGTTCTAAGACGATAGCCATTCAGTTGCCTGTGGTGACAACTACTGGACAAATTTTTACATCACCAATCTCTCACATCCACCTATTTAGCTATTCATGTCCAAGATAAACTTAATCCGAAGTTTAAAGCATAAAATGAAGAAGGAAAACAGTTCTCCTGGTAGTTCAGTCCAAACAAAAGGCCAACTAACAAAGATAAAATTGACATAATGGCCAAGGCTGGGATAGAGACCATACTTCAATATCTTCAACGCCACTACTAACAAGTAGCTATGATCAAATAGCTACTCATAGTCCATCAGCTCAAAAACATTATACGGTGGATCTCATTTGAACAGGAAAATACCAATCTTTTGTTTTAGCAGGGCCCAAAGCAAATGATGAAACCAGAATAAATCCTTTATGTAACCTGATGAAACTAATCCTCCACAATAAGTATCCAATGTATGACCACTGCCACGGAAAACCAAGTAGTGTCATCGATCAGTCTGAAGGTTAGATATGAAGTGACCTCAGGTGGTTTTAGAAAAACTACTGTTGCAGAAGCCTAACCATCTATGCGTGCTTCTCACTATGTAATCTACTTGCTGAAAAATGTCACAACTTGGTTTTCATAATCCATTAGCTTTGCAACTGTTCTCTAAATAAAGTGCCGTACACACACACATCCCAAATTAAGAAGAAAAATGTCAACACTACTTTCTCTTCTGATCCTAACTATAATAGATTGTCTGCAATGATTGTGAATATGGAACTAATAAAATTCTTAAAAAAAAAAGGGTCCATCTACAAAATTTAAGAACTTGGGTCATCTCAAGCACCATCGTTTTCAGCAACCCCAAATTAAAGACTAACAACACCACAACTATGTACAAAAGCCAATAGCATTTCGGTTAGATATCAGTCAATGAGTGTGTGAGAGATGTAAAGCGTATTTTTTTACAGAGACAAAAGCAGAAAGATTGCACACCAGCTTGGCCTTTATGTCTGGTTGGGTCAAGAGTAGGAGTAATTGATCTCAAAATGCTAACTGCGTCAGCTTCCAAAGAGGGACCACCGCTCATGGCAGAATGCATTCTGATAACACAATGATGATGGAAATTGTTGCTGTAGTTCTTCTCTTTTCTGTAGCCTCCCAAACACCTTATCAAGAAATTTTGCCTCCTAAAAACAGCAGCTGCAGCAGCTGGAGAAAAACCACGCACCATAAAACTTTGTCAACCTGCACAAGAAAAATCAATTGCAACCCATTATTTAATTCCCGAAACCCATTTAAAAAACCAAATACTAT